TACAGGTGGACCACTGTTGGACACTCTCAACTGGTAGATAGACGAAAAAAATTCAGATTTAAATCTCAAATCAGCATTACCGCTCATTCATTACACTTACTTGCTCATTGCACATCTGTGTCACTAGTTTTATACATCTTTGCTTACCTGGAATTACAGAAAGACAAGCACCTCACTGCAACGTAGCTGGATAATTTCGGCTTGGTCTAATTACTGATGCCTCTGCCCCGTTCTGCGTCTCACCTGTAGGACCCCTGAGCTGCCCTAACTGCCTGAGTGAGCTTGACCATAAATGAACCTACTAAATATAATAGTTGCATTGCACATGATCATACTGTATATGAGATCATATAATAAGATGACAGGTTAATCAAATACAACAAAATCAATAAGCCCATAAGAAAATAATACAGTTTCAATGTACAATAACATTCTAGTGTCAACTAATAGGCCCAACAATACTGTGTGTACCTCACCTATACACAAGCAGAAAGACTAAGCATGTGCATCCACACACAATGACAGCTTGCGTACTTTCCTCCCTCCTGTCCTCTCCCCACAACCACAGGTGTATTCCCTTGTAGCGCGTAACTTTAGACCCAGGAACTCTTTAGGTCTTGGTAAATCATGCATGAGCCTGTGGACATTTTGGCAAGTAGCAGCAGCACAAACACCCCGGGCCGACGCTGAAATAAAGGCACCTCCATTTATCAAAGGGATGGTGCTTTCAAAATATATCAGGCGCCTGGAAAGGAGAGGATATTGTGTTGCTTCTTCAATGAAATTGGGTAAGAGTCATTACTTAGGTTTCCCTAAGACACAACATTAAAAAAAAAAAAGATCAGTGAATGTACAAATTAAAAAGAAATATCTATAGCCAGATAATTTATGAATTCAGAGGGCTAAATTATATGTTATATTATACTCTAAGATTATTTTTGGAACAGCTGCAAAAGAACAACAATTTGGAAATACAGTGTTTCTGAAATTAAGTTGTCAGAGGTGAATTTATTTTTCTAAATAATACCTTTTAGGCATTTATGTTACTTAGTAACGACCATCACAAACAATTCTTAACCTCCAACATCTATTTCTTCCTAACATTTATGAAAGCAATTACACTTTCAAATCAATGAAGAACTGTCTTTACCTGTTAAAATTAAACCTGGGCTAGTAACTACTATTATATAAATATATATAAATTGTATTCTCTCTTTCAACAATCTAGTAAGACTTATATGACAACCTTTGATAATCTAATGTGCAATGTAAGTACCCTGTTTTCTTTATTAAATATGGCTACAGAACATTTCATTCAAACAGAAGTAGACTTTAACTTGGACTGAATGAAGACAAGATTGACTGGTCTCTTAATACTCTGTCTAAACTGAATGACTCAGTTACTACTAGGGATGTCCCGATCCGATCACGTGATCGGGGATCGGAGCCGATCACGTGATTTTCACGTGATCGGGGATCGGGAGAAAAAAAATCGGGGATCGGAATTTTTTTTTTTTTTTTTTTTTTTTTTTATAAAATATTTTTATACATTTTATTTAATGTTACAAAACAAAAATGACCATGTTCACGTCTTAAAGTCATCCTGAGGCCTTAGTTTTGGGTTAAAATTACACAACATCATGTATGTGTTGCTTCTTTTGGGCTTGTTTTCATAGACCTGGTTGCTTATTTCTCTCAAATCTGGCAACAGAGTGGGCGCAGTGTCTAATAGTAGCAGTAAGCTAACAAGAGGCTACGTTCAGCTGGTGACTCGGGAGTCGGGACAGAGAAAATGTCAGGAGTTTGGAAGTATTATAAAATTGAAAGCGAAGGCAGTGTAACAGCCAGATGCAATGTTTGCAAGGCGGAGGTTCCGCGTGGTGGAAAGAACAGAGCTACGTTCAACATGACCAATCTAATACAAACACCACCAACAACAACACGACGAGTACACAGCGGCCACTCAGGTAACGGCACTGAAACAACCGACACTTTCAGAGACTTTTAAAAGGAAAGAGAAACTACCCCAGAACAGCCAAGATAGCTGAATTCATCGCGTTGGATGACCAGCCGTTATCTGTTACCTTTTTTTTCCTCTTAATGCATTGCATAAAGATCGGATCGGGAAAAATCGGTATCGGCAGATTGTCAAAATCAAATGATCGGAATCGGATCGGGAGCAAAAAAAGGTGATCGGGACATCCCTAGTTACTACAATGAAATCTGATATTTACTTTATGTGTCACCCACTGCTGACTGTATAATTCCTGCAAGAGAACATAATGAAACACTTACAGCACACATTATCAAAGTGTGGACAGCAAGAAAAAGGGTTTATGAAAAAGGTGTGTTCAAAGTCCCAAAGATGTCTGGATACAGCACACACCCAAGTCAAAAAAGGTCAAATTGCTCCACAACTCAATATAAATTCACATCTGATATGCTTTGCAAGGCTGAAACAATGCTGTAAACATACCCCAAACTGATTCTCCCCCTCTTTATCATGCTTCGCTAAGTTGGTGCTGCACTATATTTGATACTTGGCAGGAGGACACATCCGGTGGAGCATGTAGCTTTGGTCTTATTGGCTATTACGAAACTGTGTACAACAGCTCACTGAAATATTTTATTGAATTGAGTTTTACACAACTTCCTTTCATTCAAAACGAAAAGGAAATGTTTATATGAAAGATGTCAGGGTAGTTTTTTACAAACTACAAACATTTGTGTGTCCGTTGCCACTAAAGTGCTAGTTTGAGCTATTTATTTTGGTGTAAACTGGACCTAAATCATAATTTCTACAGCTGAGAATAAAAAGTATTTCCTGTTGAGTTATTAGACAATGTTTTCGGGGACATGTTTCTCTTTCTTTCTGTGTCTCAAAGCACACACTAACACAAAACACATGCAGACAGTGCACATTTCCAGCCTACGAGTGAGACACTTTGTAGTCCTCCATGGTCTGGAAGTCTGAGGAGAGACCTCCAAGGCTGTATGTTGAGCAGAGAGGTTTGAATGAAGGATGCATTGAAATTGCTCCTCTTTTCATCATAGTCTCCCCCACAATGGGTCTGTTTCCCATTCAAGACACAAGGTCATTAGATAATACACACAGGGACCTCAAGGCCACACAGTGGGGGCGGGATCATTCAACAAAACAAGACTCCCACCCCTCTCCATGCAAACTTCTCTACGCCTTTGACTCTCTTTAATAGTCTCGGCAGGATGCATTTACACATTCACAGACACATATTTGCCCATGCAAACTCACATGCATGTAGAAAGACTCCCTTCACTCAGACAAACACACTCCTGGTTGTTGTCTGTTTCGGGGGTTTGACGGTGGGAATCATGACATCATCATGTCCCCCCACTTCTCTATTCAGTCCCAGCAGAGCTATTTCACCCTCTAAAGTGGGCGGAGTAAATGTTGGGGGATTTCTCTCCGTCTTTTCTTTTTATTCTCTTGTAAGCTAAACCAAACACGTGCTTGTGGTGGATAGAAGCACATGTACGTGTTTTTGTTTGTGTGTATTGTGTCAATGTGTTTCACAGGCTGTGGGTTGGCAAAGACACAATGCAGATCTGTTGTTCCCTGAAACTTTAGGGAAATGCTCTCCAATGAGAAACTGCTGGATCAGTGAAGTATCAATATGAGATGTTGCAATGGGACAAAACCTCCATAGTGATACTGAACATGGAAACTTTTTAACATTTTCCAAATGCAAGAAAGAATGGAAACTAAGCATGTTCTGCCTGGATGGGGAACTTATTTCCACCCCAATTTAAACTTGTCAAAAGTTAACCCATAGTGTTCTGAGTACTATTTACTCAAGCCTGCATGACGTCATGAAAAAAGGAAGAAGGTAGGAAGATTTTGGGCTTTAAAACCCTGTGGCAGTGAGATATATGAAGCAGAGGAAGATGAAACTGAGCTGGACAGAATCAGTCCTCTTCCACATCAAGTGTAGTAGATGCATGGAAAGTGCGGGGTCATTGTATAACTTATTCTCTCTGTGCTAGCAGAGAATAGCCAATGACATCATGTCTATAGCTGGAGATGAATACCCCACACACTAGAGGAGAAAAAATGAAGAAAGGAGATGAGACAGGGAGACTGGTAATGTTTGGAAAGATGGATAGGTGTCAGGTGATAGGGTAACAGCAGGACGTGGTCTCACATTATGCCAGAGCAAAATGAATGAAACATTTCAGGTTTCCATGTCTACCAATCATAGTCGTTGAAACAGTTAGCTATTTTTTGTGTTGTTTATACTCAGATTGTAGTCTGAATAATGGTTATTCTTAATATTGTTTTCATTCATAACCTTTACCAATTCACATTTCAGTAGTTGCTCAAAATTGCAATTATTATTATGTGGATGGTACTCATGCATGCATGCATAGTGTACTATGTTGTCTGTCAAATGTAAAGAGCCTCTCCCTGAAAGACAACTCCTGTCAGAGATCAGCACATCAGCGGAAACATGATCCTCAGCACAAAGAATGAAGCCTCACAGCTCCTGGGGGAGAATAGCAAAGTCATGGAGAGCACGACCCATTGGACTGCAAGCCGCCGGCCAGGTGCTGCGCTCTGAGCCACACCACCAGCCGCCTGGCGTGCGTAATCTACGGCAATCCACACCTCACACACCAGCTCTCCGAGTGGATGGGGGAGTCTTAACCCCAGTGCATGCATCTGTCATTACTGTACTTGTAAAGAAAGTCCAGGTTGCGTGCTGTCCCTGCATGGCCACCTTCGTCTCCCTCATTGGATTAATTGTAATCAAGACTCTGTTTACGCAACAGCGAACCTGCTTAAAATGCTACTACTCACTCAGTAAAACAAGATGGAGAACATGAGAGTTTTATTAAAGTTACTGAATCCTAATTTCCCATTATAATGACGCATACAGTTGGCTATAAATCTTATAAATCAAGATGCATGCAAATAGCATTCTGGTATGGCAGGCAGAAATAATTTAGTTGTTATGTTTTACCAGTTGGCGGAGGAACGGGGGTTGAGGATGTCCTCTTTGGCCGTGAGCAACGACAGGCTGTAGGTATCAAGGTTGACCGTCTGCTTGCTCATGATGGCAAAAGTTTCCAGACCACTCCCGCTGCTTCTATCTTCACTTGTCCCGACGGTTTTCGGGTCGTAATATCTGATTAAAAACAGCCACAGCGGAACACCGAGGGTCGTTCACAGCCGAGAAAACAGCAGAAAAGTTGTGCAGGTTCATGCAAAGTGAGTTTAAGTTCCAGTTTGGAGCGATCTGTGCAGACGCTGCGCACTCACAGCGTGGAGGAGACTGTGACTGCACACTGGTCTTTGTGCAAGGGGTGGAATACGTTTTCACTATAAAGCCCCACCTCCCGTTGAGAGAGTGGAAAGCATAATGACTTCACTAGCTGGGTCATTTGCAGGGAAACGCAATTGCTCAGCAAAACGTACAGATCATAACTGTCTCATGCATCCTGCTTATCTTGATATTCACTTAATAAACTCTGGTGTTCTATCACCCAAAAAACATTTGATTAAAATATTATTTTACTTTTTGCTAATTATAGTTATGGTTATTTTTCCAACTACTCTAAAGGCTGAGCTTTTGATTGAGTCAAAACCAGGGACGTGCACAGACATTTTGGGGGGCGGGTGCTCAAGTGAGAAAAAGGGCACTTCCCATAATCATTTATAAAAAAATGTTTTAAAACAAAAAGTTAAATATAGTTGCACATCTCTGACTTACTGACCAATTTATTTTAATACCCTCAAACTCACGTAATTGTTTAATACTCAGCAGAATTCTACAAAAATAATCAGCTAACACAGAGACAATGGTCTTATTTAGTATTCACAATGCACAAGAGCAGACAACAAACTAGTAAAATTAATAGTTATTAAATGAGCAGCCAACAATCAAAATTATGAAGTTACTGTTTAAGACATTACAGGCAAAAAGATCGTTTTTTCATGTAGCCTATACAGTACTTGTTATTTTGGTCTATTTTGCTTCCATATTTTCTTTCACTCTAATGGAAATAAAACTGCCAAGAAACACATATAAATTGTGTTCGTTTTACTACCATGTCTGAATTCATCTATAGATTTAAAGCTAATCTGCATTTAAACATAACATTTCCGGTGAAAATACTGACTTGACGTAAGTAACTATCTGGGGAAGTTGTGAGGTGATGTGTTTTTTAGTTTGATCCTTTTCACCTGCAATGCCTTGGTAACTGCATGCAAATTAGCGCATTTGAATTAGGCCTAGTTAACTCCTAATTTGCATATCAATGTGGCGATTGTGATGACGTTATTAGAGACACATTTTACTGTATTCACTTTAAGTGTCTCCCCTTAAAGTACATTAGCCTGTATGCCCATGATAAATTGCCTGATATTTTGTATTCAATCAATATATTTTTGGAAAGGGAAACTGTGCGCAAACAGCAGTAGATATATATTCATTTATAAAGAAAATAAAAAAGGGGGGGAAAAGGGCACTTTCTCTGGAGGAAGAAAAAGGGCAGGGGCTCAAGCCCACTTTGTGTGCCCGTGCCTGGTCAAAACACAATGTTATTTGCTGATGTGTGTTAGGCTACAGGGACAGAGCAACAGCTTAGGATCTGTCAGTCTCTTTTGTCTCCTTTTACCTTTGAATTGGCCCCCACTGGCCCTTGGCAGACTCCAGACAAGCCATTTACAGTGCAGGACAATCTCTGAACCAGCCAGAGAAGGAACAATTTCATGGGAACTGAGTCTGAAGCAGGCTGCACATAAAAACAGGGCTGTTTCACACACACACACACACACACACACACACACACACACACACACATACACACACACACACACACACACACACACACACACACACACACACACACACACACACACACACACATACTTGCACATGTACACTGACACTGATGTTGGACTGTGGGTCAGTGGCATGGGGGTTTAAGGTCTTGGATTATGGGAATGTCCCTGAGCTCTGTAATTTACTTAACAGCCATTTTTAGATAATCCAGGACAGATATCTGGTGTGTCAGACTCTGGCTTTATTTGGCTTAATGACATTTGATTTCGGATCTCTTTTCCTAACATTTAAAACACAATGCCATGTTTTGTATTGCTACAATTTGATCTGAAAACAGTTCACAGTGGCTCATGAGTAATCCTCTGGTCAATATTGGATTTACTCAATCACCCGGCACTATCTCTTGTGAAAATAACTATTTCCTTTTATGGCAAAGAGTTTCCATTTCTTTGTAGTCACCTCCCTTTGGTACATTATTCATCTTTAAGATTATAACAGTTTCTTAATGATGAGTCCGGGAAAATATTATAGACTGCAAATACAAAGCATTTTTTAAACATAAATTAGAGAAGGGTAGCATCTGTGAAATAAAGAATATCTTTGGTGTTACAAAACACAATAAAAGTAACGTTATTTTTCAAAAAAGTAAAAATTGTGACACAACTCTGGCACAATGTTGTTCAACTGTAAAGCCAAACTTATTTTGTTTGGAAAAGTAAACATTTTTTTCCTTTGAGCTCACGTCTGGTAAACTCTTATAATGTAAGTTGTGTGAAAAATGTTACACTAGCTGTGTAAGCAAGCACACAGATTCTTGTGTTTGGGCCAAAGCTTGCATGCCAAAGGGACAGGGGGCATGACATCCCCATGCCGCTATTATTCTTACAACTTCCTGCTATTAGAGGCTCTCCTGCCCTTCCAGCCTCTTAGCTCTTCACAGTGGATGTGAACTGCAATGCTGTTATGCTCCACTTCAGAGGACTTTGGCATTTCCTTTGCTGGGGTGCGGTGGCAGCTGTTGTTGGAGATGGGGTCTAAATGTGGGAATGATTGTATGTCCAATGGGGATTTGGAGATGTTTGTGTGTGTGTGTTGTGTGTGCTAGTGGGGATTTTCTCCTTATTTACTGAAACTCCTCTAATTGTCACAGCCTTTTTGTTCAGCTTCCTGCCTTCCTGACATAGTCTAAACAGAGTGTGGGTGACAAAGTGTTGAGTGGTCCAGTCACACGCAACATCCTCCCACCGTCTCTAAGACCACTTTTAAATCTCCACTCATCAGCAAGTCCCTGAGACAATTCATTGAGTTGTTGAACAAGTTATATTACATGTGACTGTTGCTCTAATGATGCTTGGCATTACATATCATACAACAAATTATCGCTATCCATATTTGGCCTCCATTTCACCATACAAAATAACTTTTTACCTCTGAACTAACCACTTAGGCATGGATTGGTTCAAATCTTGTTTTCCATGTGCCGTGGCTTGCATGGCAGGTTTATGTGTGCTCAGGCCTGATGGGTGGGGTCAAAAGGTCAGAGATCTGTTTGGGTTGAGGGGTCACAGCTTGAGCTTTGTCCCCTTGTTGTCCAATACTTCTCTAATAACATGTTCTCCACTTCTCCTCTCTGCATGAAAGGCCAGAATTGACCTACTCGTTATGTGTGAGCATGTGCTTTCATATTTGCGTGTATGAACAGTTGTAATCTTCTGTTCAAGTTGTCATAAATATAGCCTTTCCTATGACATTAACCCATCGTCTTGTGAATTTACTGTTTTACAGCATGAACAGCTGGAATGTGTCCTGACCTTTGAGTACCTTATGTGCCAGTTGTATTTCAAACAAGTCAGACCGTGCTGCATATACTATGTTTTCATCCCATGGAGACCATCAAGCAATGTCGCCTGTGTAAACCTGCCGCCTTAGCATTATAGTAACTATTTTATGTTTTATTACACAGTACATTTGTTCTGCCTTCCTGTTTTTTTGAATTACTTTAAATAGATAATAAATAAAGCTCTGTTTTAGGAAGTAAATATTTGTTATGGCAGATTTTTAGGGTCAAGCTCAGGACAGAAAATGTATGTTTGCTATGTGATGTTGTTACTGAGTAAAAAGTGTTCGACTAGCCTGACAAATCTTTCAAAACTATGGATGTTGGTGAGGCTCTCAAGTGGCAATGATACAAGTGAGTAGGAGTGTGTCACTAGTGTTTTGTGAACATTTATCTGATAGCTGAACTCACAAACGTACCAGCAGATGACTTGGATTTAAAAAAACGATTTAGATCAGACCGGCGTGATACAAGAAATAGAAGCATCAGAGATATGTGGCAAAGTTGGAAACAAAGATACTTGTTGGAAAGAGGGGGGGAAAAGACACAATGCACTAATACATGGCCATAGATGCACTTTTATGTGAGAGTGTGTGCATGTGTGCGTGTGAGAAAGAGAGAGAGAGGTCTGCACATTTTCTTTGAATTTGGGTGTCTTCTCATCGGGTGCCAGGTGAGATCACTGCTCAGCTATGCGCCTTCACACACTTGAGATATCTTCCCCTTGAGCCTCAGTGTGTGTGTGTGTGTGTGTGTGTGTGTGTGTGTGTGTGTGTGTGTGTGTGTGTGTGTGTGTGTGTGTGTGTGTGTGTGTGTGTGTGTGTGTGTGTGTGTGTGTGTGTGTGTGTGTGTGTGTGTGTGTGTGTGTGTGTGTGTGTGTGTGTGTGTGTGTGTGTGTGTTTGTGCACTTTCTTTGTAAACACAAACAATGGTTCTGAGAAAACAGCATTCTGCTTCATTCTCACCTTAACTGTTTCAAACTTAATAAACATAAGCTTTTTACCGCCTCAAGTCTTTGAGGTTGCCTTGCTAAAGTGAAATATGACAAGCATAAGCAAATGGCAGGGTTATGCAGAAAAAGAAAGAGACCACAAATCTTTGTTAAAAAAGGAACTCCATGTCCGCCTCCTATACGAAACAGGCCTTAAATTAGACCGTGGTGTCAGGATGATAAGGTATTCATAAACTTTGCTCTGAGAGGCCTTGATTTAGAGGTGTGTGCGTGCTGGGGGGGGCAGACAGTTTTGTCTATGGAGCAGAGCTTCGGGAGGTCTGGACCAACAACAAGCAGATGAGATTAGATGACACTTAAAGGACGGTAAAATAGAGGAAGGAATGTGTCGGTCACTCCTTAACCCACTGACCTCATTTCTAAGTTTGGTCCACTTTTTTTATAAAATGTCCACGAAATGTGTGTGATTTTGTATGTGTGTAAGGTTTATGATTGTGGCCATGGAAACTTTGAAGCTCTGCTCAAATACAATCCTACCCTTGATCAGCTAAGACTGTGAACATAAAAAAGTGCTGTCCAAAATCAAACATCCTGTATTATATTTAAATCATCATATTCTTTCTCAAGCATCGTCGAAGATTCATCTATTTTTAGCTTCTATCGTATCTGTATGGTCAATGAAGATGCTAACACATTCACAAT